CCTTCTATATAAGAGATTCTGGGGGTACCACTGAGGACCAGCCCAAGACAGCAGCATTTTAGCTTGCTCTGTTGGTTGGTTCCATCTGCCCTCAGGGCTGTCATCCCTGCCAAGTCCAGATGGTGCTATTGTACCATCAGCTTTCTCGAAAGCCCTCCTCCCCCATTCCAGGCTCTCCTCACCCTCTGGTTGACAGGTTTAATGCAACTCCCTGGCACCTCCTCTGTCCATGTGATGCAAAGCCAGCAAATCCAAGACAGAAGAGCCAAGAAAACCAGGTGCTAAATCATGCAAGGTCAGGCTTCCCCGCAGCCTCCAGCTTCCCTGTGTCCCAGGCAGCCTTCCCATAAGGATTTTTCTAAGCCATATACATTCCCCATGGCTCACACTGTTGTACCACACAATCTCAAAGACGGATGGAGCCTTCCAGACATTAAGCCTGAACCACAGTCTGTTCCAGAAGTCCTCGGCCCTGCCCCCCACCTCCCCATCCCTGCATCTCTTTCTCCCAGCTGTAAGCTGCAGGCTGCCAGCTTTTATCCCCTGGCACTCAGCCATGATCCTGGGAAGGCACTGCTTCTGATTGCTCACAGTGTGGGAAAAGAGAGCAAGGTACCCAAAGAAAGCCAGGCCTGCAGCAAAGAGTTTCATATTCAAGGTTGTGTTTATTGGCCACATTTATAGCTGACAGCTTTAGTAAGATGTGGTGGCTGTGTCTAGTGTCACATAAGGTTATCTGGTTTGAACCAGAGCCGACTCAAATTGGCACCATTCACTTTAGTCCATGTCATGTTCCACAGGTGTACCCAAGAGCTAAAAGTGCAAATGGTTGCTGTGGTGTTAGTCAGTGTAGGGGGAATGAAGCATGTCACCTTCAGAGATGGCACTCACTCAGGTTCCCCTGTGAGGGGGGATAACTGTCGAAGACAATCGCTTTGAAAGCCACCATAGTTTAAGGTGAAACGTTGACAGGAATCAAGGTAAGAGAAAGAATGGCTGCATACAGGAGCACACATGGATTTGACTTGTTCCAGGGAGTGGAGACAAATACCACATGGAAGAAAGGTAATGGAGATTCCCCTGTGGTCTGTGAGGACAATGTTCTGTGTGTTGCTACTGTGCATTGCTGCAGTCTCTGATGTCCCCTAACACACACACACACACACACACACACACACACACACACACACACACTCCAAATGTTGCAGTGTGTAGAAATGGAGACAAGAATGAAACTTTGTCTTAATGGATACAGTGTGGGGACACACAACACTATTGCTCAGAATGAGGTAGCAGGAACTTGGGATCAGCAGGTGCTGCCAGAACTTAAGTCCTACATCCACATAGAGCTCAGGCCCTGATAGCTGGCTCACTGACGTCGAAGTACTTGGCCAGCTCTTCAGAATGGAAAGGGTAGAGGGTAAAATTGCAGACAGTGCTAGCTGTGTGAAGGAACAGAGTCACCTCCAGCAGTATGCTAGGTCCAGCCTTGGTGGTGACTGGCGCAGTGTCCCTGGTTTATGGAACTCAGATTTGCTTTTTGAAGATGGGGAATACACTCATCTCCAACCTGGCTCTCTGGGGTGACCTTTCTAATGTTACATTGGAGTCTCAGAGTTTGTGGAGTTTACCAAATGGGGTTGGAAAGCTAGTTTTGTGGCGGTTCTATGTGTTGGTGGCAGCATAGGAACTGCATCTTTGAAGGAAGTTAGTTCAGACTGAGCTCCTGAGCCTCAGGAGAGTGCTGTGGAACAGTATTTTTGTACACTGTGACTATGTGTTACTGGACTAAATGGCCAGTAGCTAGGCAGGAAGAGGTCAGGCGGGCTTTATGCATACGAAGAGAGTAAGGTGAAGAAGGGCGGAGTCTTGAGGAGGCTCAGATGAACAAGTCAGAGTTTTTTGGGTTTTTTTATTTTTTCAATAATACTTTTTTATTTTTTGTTTCAATTTTTTAATGTGTATGGGTATTTGCCCACACCATATGCATGCCTAGTGCCGCAGGCCAGAAGTGGGTGTTGGATCCCCTGGAATGTAATTGTGAAGTACCACACGTGTGCTGGGAAATGAACCTGGGTCCTCTGGAAGAGCAGCCAGTGCTCTTAGCTGCCAAGCTATCTTTCCAGCCACACCATTAGGAGTTCTATCAGGTTCTAAGAACATGAACTTTGAGATCAGTGACTAGTAGCTGTTGCCAGTGCCCTTCTTAAAATATCTGCCCAGAATACCACCAAGCGGAGGCCATACCTGTGAGTACAGAGACAGTGTCCAGCTGTGCCTGGTGATGAACTCACTCCCCACTTTAAGCTTTGTATACTGTATTCTGGGACTTTGTCCCTCAAATTAGCTGCTTCCATCTTTCCTATATTTGCAGCGTGTCCTTACCATTACTTAAGCCATTCCCCTCCTTTTCTCTATAGTGACCCTGATGACATCTCTCTGCCACAAAGCTATTCCAGGCCTTTCCCCCATCCCCTCCCAACCCTGGCCTGTTTGACATGAGAATGCTGAGTCAACAACAGCAATGGCCCATGATCCACTTGTGCTGTATCTCACATACTAAAGGCCCAAAGTCTCCAACCCACTTTCATCCGTCCCATACACAATCAATCAGACAAGACACCTAGAGATACCTCTCCCAAGTGCAGAATCATATATATTCTGAGTGACTGAGCTATCGACATTCAAGTTTTGACCAGTTTCAAGATGTTGATACCAGACAGTGAGTGAGAAGACCACATACATACACACCTGAATCTGTATTACAGAGGAAGACTTGGTGTTGGTATACATGAGTCAAGGGTTTCAGGTTATACAGGATACATCTGAAAGGTTCTTTGCTACCCCCAGAGCCTTACTCCTCTCATGTTATAAAGTATCTCTGTCTAGAAGGAAGGCCTTTAAGAAGCTGCATTCTTTTCTTCTGGGCCCCTACTACTGCTGAGCTTGCTATTGCCAAGAATTCATAGTCTCTTCCTTTTTTAACTCTCTCAATGAGGAATGATGAGAAACATAAAACTACATGTAGGAGGTGTCTGCCACCACCTCCCACAAATGCACAGCTGTCCTTACTAACTCACTTCTCAACCTCAGTGTGTACCAAGAGATAAATGAAGTAGGCCATTTCCCTGTCTACAGAAAGGAAAAATAGAGACCGGAAACTCAGGTGGTCAGCTGTGTTGGGAGAGCCAGAACCAGGCTCTGGCTCTGCATTCCCGCCATCCTTCCAGCAATGTAGGCAGCTGTGTCAAGTATAGCTGGGCCACGGAGCTAAGACTGAAGAAATTGCTCATGGCCAGCTGTGGGATGGAAATCCCAGAGCAGCAGGGCTAGGATCCAGATGAGTCAGCTCTCTGCCTCCAGGCAGGGCTAGCTTTGGACAATAACACCAATGACTGACATCTCTGCCAGCTGGAAATCGGGCCTCCTTTGGCAAAGGAATCTGGGAACGCTCCGAGCTGCCCCGCCTGGGCCTCAGTGGACTCAGATCAATGAGAAGAGGCTCACACTAAACAGTGGACATGTGTGAGTACAGCTTCCCAGAGACCAACACTTGGCTCGCATCTGACCACTTCCAGCAAGAAGAGAACTAACTAGCCTTCTTCTAAAGCCACCTTGAGAGGTAAGGAGGAGATATTGGTCTTAGTCTACAAGAGCAGAATGTTATCCTTTTTCAACTATACAGATACATTACTCCGGTTTTAGTTTAGCAGACCCAGGGTGAGACTGAACAGAAACTACAGCTGTGAGGTGTGACACCTCTATTTTTCAGTTGTACAACTGTTGGTTGGTGAAATCTGGTTTTAACTACACTATTTTAAAGGTCAATTTCTACTTAAATGTGTTGTGAAAAAAACTTATAGTTTTTCGACTTTATACATACTTTACACTAATTGTAGAGTAAGTACAGGAATTGTGTGCATGCACTCACTCTTGGGTGGTGTTGCCTTTAAAGTAGATACCTTAAAGAAAGTGTGTGTTTATTGCAGTGTAGCAGCCCCAACTCATTTCTAGAACTGTCTTTGGAAACTGTCAACTTATATGCTTCTTCAGAGTGGGCAAATCTAATCTTTGTCCTTATGGCTAGGTCTATTAATTTTTAATAGCCAAAGAACATTTTTTTTTCTGACAAATACAATGGGTTGTAGAACTTAGCAAGTAGCAGGAGTTGGGGGAGAAACTAACAAGACCTGTTGATAAAGTTATTAGGCCTCTTTCGTTTTGATGGCTTCTGAGGTAATCCCAAAGAGGAACCCTTAATATTCTTGAGTCTGTGATAAGGTAGCTCAAGAGGATGGCCTCCCAGGAAGCTGCAGTGAGGTAACCCCAGGACGCATTTGTTCAGGTGTATTTGGTCAATGCTTGTTTTCTATTAGACTTCCTACAAGCAGAAAACACAAAACTCTATCTCTACAATTTCTCCCAAGGGAAAGATCTCATCTACTGCTTGAAGAGTTCAAATGGAAAGCACTTGGTATCATGTCTACAACAGCCCGGCTCACCCCTCCACAAATACCCGAGTCTCCCCAATTTTGAAAAACGGGTAAGGGCAGTAGAAGATCCAGAAGAAGGGGGAAAGAACAGTCACCGTCCAGTAACTTTCTGTGGTAAAATCCCACTGGTTTCCAGATGACAAATGAGCAGAGTCCACTGAATAGAAAAGTCCATGGTGCTGGGTTCTGGTACACAGGAAACAAAGTATGTGGCCATAGCTCATCCAGATGCATTTCCAGTTGAGGCCAAAGGCAGCAAAGGTGCGTGAAGCTGCTCCAGCTGGCATTAGGTGAAGCAGAGGTATGAATTCTGAGTGACAAAGCAATCTGTAGAAATGCCCTGTTACAAAGCAGGACACATGCCAGGCGGTGAGGTCAAAGAACGGTCCACTTTCTACAATGAGCTTCAGCGAGATGGCCAGTGAGGGAGCTCCTGAGTGTTGGAGGAGTGTGAGATGATGGTGACTGGGAGGGTGGGGGTGGGGCATCCTCTAATATCATTATCTGAGCATCCCTGACTGCCTGCACATGCCTCCATCTCCTGGTTGCATTTGAGAACAGTGTTTCCAGGAGCCAAGCTCATGTTTGTTGCTAACAGCCAGAGAGGGCAGCACAGGGTCAGAGCCTTAAAGCCTATCATTCCATCCAAGTGTTCGCAGTAAATGTTGGCCTTAAATTGACCATTTGGGGTGCTGTTCTTGGTGTTTTTTATATGAGTTGTCATAAAACCCACAAAGCTAGGCTATTTGTTCAAACTGTTGTTAGAAAGAATGCTGAGTGCCCGGATGGGATTTTCTAGTTTCTGTGCAAATGAAATCACATTATTCCAGATCTTATTCACTGGACACTACTCAGGGAAGCAGTAGGATTTGGTTTAAATGCTGCCAAAAAGCAGGAATTCACTGGAGTTCAGCAGCAATCCTGTTAATGTTGTAACCAGGTTCGGGCAACATGGGGAGGTGGGACCCCCACCATTGTTTTTGCTGAGGAATCCCGGACCTCTCCCAGTTCAGGCTCGCTCTCGCTAGAGGTAGACCCATTGTTGATGGCATAGACACTCTCAACTCCCTGAGCTGAAGCACAACCATTTGGCTCATTCTTTTCCCTGGGACTTGATAGTCCCGGGAGGATGGCCATCTTCCCCATCTGCCTGTTGGGCAGCAAGGACATGGCATAGTCTGCAATGATTGCCCCCACATCTAAGTTGCATGCCTGATCGAAGGCTAGGAAGCCGACATTGGCGTTTGCCTCACATACCACAAAGGAGCCATCATCCATAATGAGAAGGTCAATACCACAGAAATCCATGCCCAGGATGTTGGACACCTGGATAGCCAGCTGTTTGCCTTGCTCTGTCAGCGGGCACTTGACGCCCACACCACCTATGGAGAAAGCACAGTAATGCAAAGGTGACAAATGACACTTGCTGATGACCCTTTGAGAGGGAGGAGACTGATGACAAAGGGCTAGTTATTCACAGCGTTACTTAAAATTTCAGCAAGTTGGGGCCAGAGAGCCGGCTCAGTGGTCAACAGCACTGACTGAGCTTCCAGAGGACTCAACTTTGGTTCCCAGCATCCATTTCAGGTGGCTCACAACTGCCTGTAACTCCAGAGGCTCCAATGTCCTCTTTTGGTCCCCATGGGCACCCACACACTTATGCCATATACCCATACATGAAAAAATAAAGATAAAGATTAGAAAAACCACAGTATCTGATACACAGTGTGTATTCAATGGCTGTTAGGGAAATGAAAAATTCTAACCTACCATATAGTAGATAGGAACAACATACTTTATAATCATTAATAATGCTGGGCCATCAGTGTCAGGGCACCTGACCAGCCAGCATGGGCAAGGCTCTGGGTTCACCCCCCAGTATCAGAAAATGAAAGATAATAATAATAATATACTATAAACCTGGGGCCTCCACACACCACGTGTGCCCACAAACACAAGGTTCCACACTCGGCCCTTCACATGGTTATTGTGTAAATGAAGACTGAAGGGCTGAGCACACTGTCAGACTTAACCCAGAGTTTGCCTGTATGGCCAGGGTATCTCACAAGTGTCTTGCTTGCACAGCTTCTGGGCCACATGCTAGCCCAGGGCAAGAACTGACTTATGTCATCCAAACTCCACTGCAGATGCTACTTGAGGACTTTTAGCAAAACGGGACCCAATCAGCAAATGAGCCTCTTTTATAGTCAATGGCCTTGGAGCAGACATCTGCTGAGTCAGGAAATAACTGCAGGGCTTTCCTTTTTCTATTTTCTCTTTCCAGATTACCAACACAAATTCATTCACCAAGGTTGACCACAGTTTTCTATAATGGGGACAAGGACCTATGTCTGTCTTGCAAGGTCTCTGTTTTCCACGATAAAGAACAAGCTTTCTGAGTGAGCTAATACAACATTCCTCCTGACCACTGCCTTTATTCTGGGCCTGGGCATGGTGGACCCTTTACACTGCAACATAACCTTGCCATCTACAAGTGCCATCACACTTGAGAACTGCAATCAAGTCACACACATACCCCCAAAAAATTGCAAGAAAAAAAAAAATGACGTTTTGAGCAGTTTGTGCCTTTGCACTGGGCTGCATTCACAGCTTCTGGGGTGGACACACCTGTAAGGCCTTTGGTAATCTGTCTGAGTGGCTGCAGTTTTCAAAACTGTCTCTGCACCTCCTCCCTTTGCTCAAATGGACATTTCCCCAAACACTGGTTCTGATGTCACTCCCTTAACTCCTGGTGTTGAGTCCTAACATCTACACACAAGGTGTCATACTTCCGTGTATTAACACCTAGGACTGTGTGTTCTGGCCCAGCCCTGGACTTCCTGTTCCTCCCCTGGACTGCTTGTGGCCACAGGAAAGGTTCCTCTCTCATTTTCTGTGAAATCCACAATCAGCAGAAGGTCTGACAGGATCAGTACACGCTCACTGAGCAGGCCAAAAACAGCCATGAGGTCCCCTGCCCCATAGTCCCACAAGCCTCCCCTATCTCACCTAGGAAGCAGTTGCTTTGCATTCGGCCATCTTTGGAGCAGCGCAGCATGGAGCCGATCACCTGGCCACCCACCACCACCACCCGGATGTCCTTCCCGTGTGACTCCTTCACATACTTCTGGAACAGGTAGGGCACGTCATGGCGGACCAGGTGGCAGATGTCAGAGAGGTGATGCTTGTCTCTAGCCAGAAAAACAGCTTTTCCTTTGAGAAGAAAGACAAGAGGGAGAGCTGGAGAAACTGCAAGCCTCTCTTTGTGGTCCGTTCTACCTCCCCAGCCTGTCTCCCTGCCCAAGCAGGTGCCAACTTTCCGGAACTTTCCATGTACTGGCTCCTCCTATTTCTCTGAGACTCTTTCTGCTTAATCAAACAGCACTAAATCTTACCCTCTTCAGACTTTAACCTCACCACCATCTCTCTCCCTGTACCCACTCTGTGTGTGAGCCATGCTGCCCTAAATTTAGACTCCCCATCCTCTGGTCCTAGCTTCCCAGAAGGCTGACATTACAGGGGTGTGCTCAGAGAAAAAAATGATGTCAGGAGCAGCCTTAAAAGATGAGCACACACAGCACTCTAGTGAAGTCCAGAGAGCAGATGGCTGTGGGGCAGAACACACAGTGTCTCTGGTGAGTGAGGATGCTGTGGAATGGGGGAGGCCGTCCACACAGGCCTTGGTGCCATGGTGCCGAACTTGTGAGGGTGTTCGGCGAGGGAGAACAGATCTGTTTCTGAGAATCTACTCCAAAGAAAGAACAGGCATGCTGGCTGTGGACTTGAGACCCTAAATCTGCTCAGGGGAGAACAAGGAGAGACTGGAGTCTGGCAAAAGGGCAGAGGGCCTGACAGACCAACAGAACACACTGAGCATGCACAGCAGTCCTGTGCCCAGAACTGCAGTTACGCCGACTGGCTTCCCGGCCACTGACCCCGGTGCCCCCGTGTGCTCTTCACCACCACTGGGTAGCCCAGCGGTTCTGCTTCATCAATCATTTTAGAGAAGTCTTCATGCCCACCTGCCAAGAAAAAGTGAAAATCAATAAATGCTGGCGATGGGGTAGAGGAGGGATGGCCCAGCACTCCTCCCCTCAGAATGTTCTGATGAAATTATCCAAATCCACCCAAACCCAGCAGACATGAACTACACACCTGTGATGTACAAGGCAGGAACATGGAAATGTCACACCAGCTATTATAACCCTCATGGCATTCTTACAACAGCCAGCTTCTTCACAATGTCTGCGGGAGCAGTATTCCAGGATGGCGTGCCATGCACCTACCCTTCAGGTGAACCCCTTAAGTGGGCCCTTTAGCCCTCTGTTCTTTCATCCTTCATGCTCACACTGAGTAACCTATTACTTCAGTCAGCGTAACAGGGGCTTCCAAATCCCCATCCCCAGCCTTTCAGAGCCCACAGCTCACTGGCTCCCAAGCATCTTCTCTGGCACGGATTATAAATGTCTCAAACAGACCAAGTCCTCCACTGAAATCATCTCCCCTGCCAGCTATTCACCCTGACAATCAGTTTGCTTCGTCCTCCTATTTCCAGTTCAGTCCATGATTATGTTGGCATCTGGTGACCCAAGCCAGAACCTCGTCACCTTGGTGCCTCCCTGCACCCCCCATACACTATCAGTCATTCCGCTCTGTTACGTCTTTTGCCCTCACAATTTCTGAATCTGCTCACATTATCTCCATTCCTCACTCTGAAGCTTACCACTGCCTTCCCGGCCTCTACTTTGTCTTGTGTAATTTATTCTCTGTGTGGTGGCCAAATTGATCGGCAGGGTAACTCTGATTAGGCACTTCTTGATCAGAATCCTCCTGGTAGTCTTGGGATACCACTATCTCCTGGGTATGATGCATGCAGCAGCCTTGTATCTTTCCAGTGTTAGGCCTCAATTCTTTCTCAAGCGTCCTTAACCTTCTGCAGCTACTGGGGATACAGCTAATCATGTTCTCTCTACCTCTGGCTCTTTTTATGCTCTTTGCTCCTGCTCCTGCTTTTCACAGGCTATTTTTAGCTTAGTTAATGCTACTTCTTTAAGGCAGTGGTCCTTGAAGCCTGATCACTGTGGTTGGAGCTCTCCCACAAGCTCATGTACCACCCAAGGACAGTATTCTCCCACCTAAACACTGGCATTACTGCATGGAAATTGCCTGTATATTTGTGGCCTTTTGTTTCTGGTGCCATGGAAATGCCCAAGGGACAATACTGTGCTAGTCCAGAGCTTCTGCAGTGGTTTGAATAAGAATGTCCCCCATAAATTCACATATTTGAATGCCTAGTCAATAAAGGGTAGGAGGAATTCTCTGATAGGAGGTTTTTTGTTTTTTTTGGGGGGGTGGGTTTCGAGACAGGGTTACTCTGTATTGCTTTGGAGGTTATCCGGAACTAGCTCCGTAGACCAGGCTGGCCTCGAACTCACAGAAATCTGCCTGCCCCTGCTTCCCAAGTGCTGAGATCAAAGGTGTATGCTACCACCACCGCTGCTGCTGGGCTCTTTGACAGGATTTAAAAGATTAGGAGGTGTGGCCTTGTTGGAGGAACTGTATCACTGGGGGTTGGGCTTTGCCTGCAGATAGGATGTAGCTCTCAACAAATTCTCAGGCACCATACCCGCCTGCCTGCCACCATGGTACTCACCATGAGGATAAAGAAAGAAATCTCTGAAACTATAAACAAGCCCCAGTTAAATGTTTTCTGTTTTAAGAGTTGCCTTGGTCACGGTGTCTCTTCACAGCCATAGAAGGCTGACTAAGCAAGCCAGCTTCTTGGAGTGGCTGGTGCACGTTTACCAAATGACTAGAAACAGAAAACACCAAGGCCGTTTACACAGAAGGACTGGCCAGCAGTCAGGTTCATAGGAAATAGCAACCAGAGACACAGGCAGGCTCCTGGGGGAGAAAAGAGACACACCAATATTTTGGGAAGGAGTTATAAATGTATTTTGGGGAGACTCACCATAGGAGAAGGTGTCTGGCATGGGGACCCCATGTCCAGCCAGCTCTTGGAATGTCCAGAACTTGTTGATACAGTTTAAGATGCTTTGAGGACGGTTGACCAAGCGGCAGCCCAGCTTCTCCAGGTGCCTGAGGAGGGTGATTTCACTATCTGACTGGACGGAGGGAGTGGACAGTCGTACAACCACCACATCGGGGAAGGTGGTCAGGGGTTTCTGGCTCAGCTGCAGGCCTGTAAGCAAAGGCTAGAGTGAGCTCAACACTTGCCAGCGCTTTGTCAACTGGAAGAGGTGCTTCCAGGGTTCATCTGGCCAGAAGAGAGCCTCAAAACAGCAGCATGGGCATCCTGGTGTAGGCTGGAGTATGCAGCGAGAAGGCAGAGCGTGGGCATGATACAAGGAATGAACAGAGAGAAAGAGAACGCAATGTACCAAGAGTGGTGCAAGTTAGAAAAGTCCACAGCGCAGCTGTTGTCAGACCCTTCTTCCTTCGGGGCTAGGACTACTCAGGGGCCAGTGGCTTGGGAGGCTCATGGCTTCAAGCAATGGCACCAATGATGTCCATTTCTGGGAACCCTACTCTTCAGTACTGAACCTCAGGAAAGTCTACTGAAACATTATACAACCACTTCCATACCATCTTTAAAAAACAAACAAGCAAATCAGGATCTTACTATGTAGCCCAGACTAGATCAAACTCTAGATCCTTCTGCCTCAGGGGCTAAGACTCCAGGCCCATGCTATACCACACTCAGCTAAATAATCTTTATCAACATATTTCATATACACAATGTCAATGTTAGATGGAGAAACAGAATTCTAGTGGTGCTATGTAAACTGCTCTGCTAACATGTGCAAGGCCTAGATTCAACCCCTAGCTCAGTCCAAACCCATTTGATAGAGGGGGAAAATATCCCAACATTGTCACTCCCCTTCTCCCCAAATAACTAATTCTTTATGTTCTCTTTATCCTGCCTCAACATCCCCAGGGCTGAAGATTCAAAATAACTAATCCATTATGTTCTCAGCTATGTAAATAAATGTGGGTTGAAAAAGAGAAAAGAAGCACACATTTTTCACGGTAGGAATAGGGCTACAAGTAATTTCTTTTCTTTTTTTCTTTTTCTTGAGACAGGGTCTTGCTATGTTATGTAGCCCTGGCTAGCCTGGCACTCACTATGTAACCCATGTGACTTTGCCTCACAGCAACACTCGGGCCTAGGTGCCCCAAGTGACAGGATTATAGATAGATATGAATGAGCCCCTATGATCGGCTCTTCTTTGTATTTTCTCTTTACCCGAATCTTCCAGAATGTTCTTCCAGGTGTATAGTATCTTTATAACAAAACCAAAGTTAAAAATGCCTATGAAAAATTTAATTCAATGCTTAACAAATATTGAGCGCAATATTCATTAAGTGATATCTATTGAAAGATACTGTAACAAACACACATGAGAAGACCTGAGGCCTTCTGCCTCTGGGCTAATCAAGGGCTCACGAGGACCTAAGCACCCACAGGCTACTGAAGGACTTCTGCACAGAAGAATTCTCTGGCTTGCATGGCACCAAGGGGTAGAGCTAGCCATAAAGTGATTTTTGTCTGTGTGTTTTGTGCTGACTTCAGTCCCTGGAACAGTGCTTGGTAGGCACTGGATATTTGTTGAACAGAAGTGGCAGGAAAACAGATTCAGGCTTCACTAAGTTCAGATACTCTTCCACTCCTTTAGAATGGAGTGGCACTCAAAGGTGCTACACAGGGAATGAAAGCAGAGGCTCCCATCCTTGGTGTCTCTCAGCCCTGACATCCCAGGGTTTGTCTGACTCCAACCACTCAGCATGCACACTGAGTGTACCCAGAACTTGGCTCGGAGGGAGGGAGGCTGGACACCCAGCACCTGGGCTGGAGTGAGGGAGGCTGGACACCCAGCACCTGGGCTGAGGGAGGCTGGACATCCAGCACCTGGGCTGGAGTGAGGGAGGCTGGATACCCAGCACCTGGGCTGGAGTGAGGGAGGCTGGACACCCAGCACCTGGGATGGAGTGAAGGAGGCTGGACACCCAGCACCTGGGCTGGAGTGAGGGAGGATGGATACCCAGCACCTGGGATGGAGTGAGGGAGGATGGATACCCAGCACCTGGGATGGAGTGAGGGAGGCTGGACACCCAGCACCTGGGCTGGAGTGAGGGAGGCTGGATACCCAGCACCTGGGCTGGAGTGAGGGAGGTGGGATACCCAGCACCTGGGCTGAGGGAGGCTGGATACCCAGCACCTGCGATGGAGTGAGGGAGGCTGGACACCCAGCACCTGGGCTGGAGTGAGGGAGGCGGGACACCCAGCACCTGGGCTGGAGTGAGGGAGGCTGGATACCCAGCACCTGGGATGGAGTGAGGGAGGCTGGATACCCAGCACCTGGGATGGAGTGAGGGAGGCTGGATACCCAGCACCTGGGCTGGAGTGAGGGAGGCTGGATACCCAGCACCTGGGATGGAGTGAAGGAGGCGGGACACCCAGTACCTGGGCTGAGGGAGGCTGGACATCCAGCACCTGGGATGGAGTGAGGGAGGCTGGACATCCAGCACCTGGGATGGAGTGAGGGAGGCTGGACACCCAGCACCTGGGATGGAGTGAGGGAGGCTGGATACCCAGCACCTGGGATGGAGTGAGGGAGGCTGGATACCCAGCACCTGGGCTGGAGTGAGGGAGGCTGGATACCCAGCACCTGGGATGGAGTGAGGGAGGCTGGACATCCAGCACCTGGGATGGAGTGAGGGAGGCTGGACACCCAGCACCTGGGCTGGGAGGGAGGAGGTGGATACCCAGCACCTGGGATGGAGTGAGGGAGGCTGGACACCCAGCACCTGGGATGGAGTGAGGGAGGCTGGATACCCAGCACCTGGGATGGAGTGAGGGAGGCTGGACACCCAGCACCTGGGCTGGAGTGAGGGAGGCTGGATATGGAATGTGTGAGGCCATGGGAATTGGAGTTTCAGAACTTCCTGGGTCTGTCTCCATCCTAACCAACCTCAAAGGAATTTCCCAAATGCTCTAAAGAAAACCTTTAAATTACAATTTATGGGCCCACCTTCCAGGCTTTAACTTAGCACACCTTTTATATATTCTACCAAACCCCAAAAAGTATAAATGAAGTCACAATTTCTCCATCAGGGACTGAGGTGTGGGGTGTTGCTCAGTGGTAGAGTGCTTGCTACCTTGTCTGAAGACCTGAGTTCACACTGTCTTAAGCCTGCGAAGTGCTACACACCAGGGGACAGTCGTAAACTGGGCATGGTGGCACATAGGCACAATCTCAGTCCTCAGGATGCTGAGGCAGGAGGATAAAGAGTTCAAAGACTGCTTGGGCTACATGGCAATGACTGTGCCAATATCGAAGTTCTACACGGAGAAAGGAGAAGGATCTCTATAACAAAAACCAGGCAAACAAAAAGCAAGCCATTCACAAAAAGGACTTTGTGGGTGGAACTTACAAGCTGGCCATTCCAGGAGAGGTTTCACTGATTATTTTAAGGTGTGGATGGAGAGGGGCAGTTTTTAAGTCACATTTTTCTTAGCACTCCTGCTGATGCGGTGAGCCCAGCAGCTAGAACTGTCTATAAAAAGTCTATAAAAAGAAGCTAGGTTAGCTTCATTTGGGCACCGGAAACAGGATTGTTTAAAGTTGCCTTTCCTGTCTTTTAAAAAAAATCCCCTCTCCCCTCAGCCTGGAAAGTGGAGACAAGACAAAACTGGAAGAAAAAGAAAGGTATCCACATTGATCAAAATGGTGAACAAGTACAGAACGCACAGCACACCATAACGCAGGGAGACAGGGACCAAAACCACTCTGAACCCAACAGAAAGCCACACACACAAGGCACTGACACTGTCACGACAGACATTCCAATAAGCAAGGTAGGGCTACTTTTTTTTTTTTTTTTTTTTTTTCACTCAGTGAGAAAACAGCTTGGCAACAGAAAAAGAGAAGCCAGAAGCAAGGGAACAACCAGCTTTAAATCCCAGCTCAAGCCCACGGACAGACAGACTTCCACGCACGAAGAAAAGAATTCAGTCCATTTCTGGAAATACCAACCACAGTGCACAGAGAGAGCTCAGCCTCTATAAGCAGCAGCACAGACACCTAGGAAGTCTTACCAGGACTCCATCTCTCTTCTCCAAAGGTAAATCTTTGGGCCTGGCTCATCCCCACTGAAGCCTTTAATAAAGGAAGAATGCAATGGGTTAAAGTGGAACCCAAACGGCTCTGCCAGGCAAGGAGACAGGTCTCACGCCTGCCTATGCTGCTACCTAGCCCCATGCAGAGGGACTTGCTGGGTTTGGGGTTACCACCTCCATGTATCCACAGGTTTCATATCAATGGATCCATCCAACTGCAAATAGAGAGCACTAGAAAAATTTGTATCCACACTGAAAACATTAAGACTTTTTTTCTTGACATTATTCCTTAATCAGTGTGAATATTGCATAGCAACTATTTCCAGGTTTGGGGGTATAGTTCAGTGGTAGATTACTCACCAATTACACAAAAGGCCCTGGGTTCAAATACCATCCACCTTTTTTTAAAAACCTACAAAGAATCCACAATTATTTACATAGTATTTATACTGCATTGCCTGTTCCCAGTGACCTGGAGGTGGACTGAGGTACAGAAGGATATGTGCAGGTGACACGCAAAGGTTATATAGGGGCCTAGAGCATCCTTGGATTTTGGTATGGTATGGAAGGGTCTAGACAATCACCTGCAAATACTAAGGGATAAGCATAAATCTGACATTGTGGGCACTCCTGCTCTGGGCCATTCCATAGGCCCTTGCTCAGTGTCTTCACCTTGGCCATCATCTCACTGCAGCACTGTGACCTGGGCAAGAGAGAACTGCTTCCCATTCTGGCTTAAGAAAGAGCAGCAACCACATGTGCCCAAGAACAATGTAATTTCGGGCTGGCTCCTTGGCAAACCTGTCTGCAAAGTCTGAGGAGACCTTTAACCACGTTGGAATTTCCACTATTAGCATTGACTCCCAGATAGGCACCTGCTAAGCCCCTCATAGGGATAGGCACCTTTTAAGTCCATCGCAGGGACACAGCTTACTGAACATGTCACATTTCCCAGGATCCTTAAAATGCTCACTGTGATCACCAGGCCTCAAGCCAAGGGAATGGAGAACCCCTGTAGACTGGATGAGTGGGCTCTGCTTGGCTGAGGAGAACGGAAGGAAAGCAGCCCTCACCCTCAGATAACCAGGGGCTTGATATGACTGAGTATCACAAACATCTGGCTCGCTTTAATATTTACTATGTTTAGCCTCAAACCACTTAAAAAACAAATAAAAAACCAAGATGTGACTACTCTGTCCTCAAAGAAGTCCATTAAGTCAGAAGGGGAGAGATTAGAAGTCAAACTGGTTGGTTCGTCAACTTTGTGACACCGAAACACTATTTTCTCCATCTCCTACGCTCACCGGTAACTATATCCCAACTTCCTCTTGAATTCTGTTTCCATTTAGAAATATTTTAATGCCTTAAAACAAAGTAGAAATGCTATGAATACTGGCCCATACCTGTTGTATCAGCTTGGGTTTTTGTTGCTGTGATAGACATCATGACCAAAAGCAGCCTGGGGAAGAAAGGGTTTGTTTCATCTTGTACTTCCAGGTAAAAAAGTCCCTCATGAGGGAAGTCAGGATAAGAAGTCAAGGCGGGAACTGATGTAGAAGCCAGGGAGGAACACTGCCTGCACTCTTACACCTCCCAAGATCACCAGGAATGCCTTCCCAGCAGTAGGCTGGCCTCTTCCCCCTTCATTCATTAATGAAGATAATACCCCACAGACTTGCCTACAGGCCATGTGATTGAGGCCTTTACTCATTGAGGTTTCCTCTTCCCATAACTCTAGCTTGTGTCAAATTGATAAAGACAAACAAAACAAAACTAATTAGTGTATTTGTAATCCCAGCATTGCAGAGGCTGAAGCTGGAGGATCATAGCTTTGGGGCCAGCCTGGGCTACATGGTGAGCCCTTGTCTTAAAACAACAAAAAAACAAACAAGACTCAACAATAATAACCCAGGACAGAAAAGTAGAAGAATTTCTCCAGAGAAACAAATCTGCTTCCAACCTGTATTAGGGTGAATTAAATTCAACAAAAGTGAACTTTGGCATTTTGTGTGCAGTAGCATGTAAATGTACTCTACAATGGAGATATAGTGTTAATGTGCAATAAACAAATCATGATTCCAAGGCAGAGCTTTACAGCTCAAAGACACACTCTCCATCACCCACAGAGGATGGGAAGCCTGGCCATAAAAGGTGCTGTCCATCAGATCTGACTGGCTGGCATCTTTACTGAGTATTCATCTGCTCTGTGCTGGGTACTCTCCTAAGAGAGTGGATAATAAATCCATATTTATTATCTCATTTAGAGGCATCCTATAATATGGATGGAGGAGATCTGACTGCAAAGGCCTGGCGTTTACACAGAGTGAAGGCATTGGGGGTTTCGGCTCTCCCAACCTGTACATGCAAGTCACCCACTGTGTGCAGGCACACACACAGACACCCCGGCTTCACGAAAGAAAACTTCATCATTAACCTGGATTCTAGTACACCACGAAAGCACACCTTTCATGTACAAAGCAAGCAGCAGGAACAGCAGGACAATGAAGGGTGAGCAGAGGGGCCCTCACTTAGGGCACTTTTTAGGACTGTGGTCTTTTAGCAGGATCCTGCAACTGTGGTCGGCACTGAAGCTCTGGAAGGTGCCAGTAAAAAAAATCAGTCACCTCCTTGGTCATCCCTGCCACCGTCTGGATGTTTGCTGTGTCGGAAGAAGCCATGTCACCAGAGCACAACAGGCTCGTGTCACTGCAGCCTTTCTCCATCTCTCTACCCTACCACCTCATGAGGAAGTCATTTTGATTCTGGGGTAGATCTGGTCACCACTGCGCATATCCCTTTGAGGTTCTGTAAGGGAGGACACTCAAAGAAATCTCACCTCCACCTCGCTAAAACCCGCAGCGACTTATGCGGCTGCTTTTCCTTTCCCACTAACTGCTTTTCTGAGATCACTTAATTCAATACAGCCTTTATTGAACTGTTGCTTTGAGGCAGACACATCTATTAAGCAGGACACAAGGGTGAGCCAGGCAGTCTCTGCCCTCCCGGAGCTTCCAGCCCCCTCATGGAGGAAGCTTAAGTCTGAGTATTTTGTATTCATTCCGCAGATATTTAGTTGGCAGTATCTTTGGGCCAATTTCGGTTCGGGTTTGCCCAGGACACGCTGAGAACACAATTTAAGCTCATGTTGTCAAACATGCAGTATTTTAAGAACTGCTGAGGGAGGAGGAGTCTGGGAAGGGAAGTGTGGGAAGCTAAGACTGATCCTCTGGAGGGAATACCCCAGCACTGAGTACAAATACACCCACCTGAGTGGGAGGGAGCTGGTAATTTAGGCTATCATTTTCATTTCCTGGCCCTGTGTGTGTTAGCAGGACAGGCTCCCGGGAGCATGGCAGACACTCAGATAGATACAGATACTGGTGGCAGAAGTGGAACCCGGCAGTCAAATGGTTAAAGGGCAAGGGAAAAGGGAGGGAGGGCTCCAGACAGCTGAAGAATGGGCGCTATTCTAAAGGCAGGAGAATGAGGGCTGTGAGACAATGTCCTTGGGATGTAAGAAGAAAGCTAACACATAGTTGTTATTAATGCCCCGGGTGCCCTGTGAGGGCCTGTGTGGTGGCAGAGGAGACGGGGAGAATGGAGGACTGTTTCAGACAGGACATTCAGACTCCAGTTGTGTCTGGACTTAGAAGGAAGAGGTGAAGCTAAATGTGTATGCTGTCTGCCCTGAAAAGATCCAGCAGCAGGGCTGGAGATTAACCAGTGCCACAGTCCAAGTGAAAGGAAGTGCTTGGGAAGATTCTTCAAGAAGTTGCAATGGAGGCAGAAGGGTCCTGGCCTCTGCACCAGAGTCCTGGCTGAACTGTTTACAGTCTCTCTGGATCTGTCCCCTCTTCCATCAAATTGGAGCGCCCCAGAACTTGACAAAGCTTTCCAAATCATTAACACCACCACCTCATCAATGTGTCTTCTTAGAAACTAGGAAACAAATCTGGTAACGTCCTTCATTCAGGTACTTGAGGCTCCAGCCTCTGAGGCAGATCATTTCCCTGGACTCCGGACTCCAGACTCCCCACCCTCCCCAGCTGTGCACCCTCCACATGCTGGGCAGGAACTCTGCCACTGAGCTCCACCCCCAGCCTTCACAGTGCCTTTTCTGGTTCTTCGATCTAACGCTTCTCATCTTTGCTAGATCTTATTGAACCACATCAATGGGCTCTAACTCTGATGTCAACCTTATTTGGTGAGTCTTCCTTTCTGTACCAGTTAATATTTTATCAGCTTGACACAGCTGGAGTCATCTGGGAAGAGGGAACCTCATTGGAAAAGTGCCTCCTTCAGATTGGCCTGTCTTAATTAACGATTGATGTGGGAGAGCCCAGTCATTGCCGGGCAGGGCTTCCCCTGGGCAGGTGGTCTTCGGCTATAGGAACAGCAAGCTGATGGAGCTCCAGAGATGACTCAGCAGTCAAAAGCACATACTGTTCTTCCAGAGGACCCCAGCTCCATTTCTAGTAGCCACAGCAGGTGGCTGTAACTCCTTCTCCAGAGTGAGCCAACTCCTCTGGCCTCTGCAAGGCCCCACTCACATTCACATATTAGTACACACACACACACACACTTAAAAACAATACAAACAAATCTTTAAAAATATTTTTTAAAAAATCAACCACGAGCTGAATGAGCCATGGAGAGCAAGAGTAGCAGCACTCTTCTGTGGTTTCTGCTTGAGTTCCTACCTCCAGGTTCTTGCCCTGGCTTCCCTCCCTGATGGGACCATGGCCTGGGAAGTGGAAGCCTTTCCTTCCCAAGTTGCCTTTGGTCATGGTCTTTATCACAACAAAAGAAAGCAAACTATCAGTTTTTCTTCTGAGTCCAACTGAATTGCTCTCATTTCCCAGTGACTCTATTTCCCCATTTGCCCTCCCAGGCCAAACTATTTCTCACCCTCTCCCCTCAGATCACTAGCCCTAGACATAGGGGTAGTGTGTTAACCTGATTTTCATTGTAACTTCTGGAACATCCTTTCTCCTTCCTCACATGCCAGAACAACCTTCCTGATTACACAACACCTCATCCCAGGGTCACTTCCCAACTATCCTTGAAACCTCATTCCCTGACTCCCACATTAAACACTGGGGCTCTCTTTGCTCCCATGAAGGATCCTCCCAATGGCCAGGTACTTTGGTTTCTGGAGCTCTTTTCCTCCAAGGATGTGGCCTGCCATCTCACCATGGGCACCTTGCAGTTCGTTCAGTCCAGACTTTGCAAATCTCACAATTAGAAACATCATCTTCTAGCTCTCCAGATTACTTCTCCTATGGCCCCGACTTGAACCACTCCCTGACCACAGTGGGAGATATCATGCAGAAATCTCTCCATCTTTTCACTGTTCCTCACCCCTTCCTACCATCACTTCCTTTCTTAACCTCATCAGACTCAGCCACTCTCTTGCAAATGCTCGGCAACCATGCTTGCTTGGATAAATAACTAACCTGGTCAGACTGAGTCTCTACCTACTTCTTCGGTGCTCTTTTGCAATAGAACATACCCAGAAGAAACAAAACAAAAACAAAAAAACACAAGCCTGCGAGTCTCAAAGTCATCTTTAATGCTGGCTGGCAACCATTCTATTAACTAGCCTCTCCAAAAGCTCCCAAGTCACGTCTGTCCCTTCTCTGAGTCTTGTGACATCCAGGTTACCCTTCCTCTTTGAGATGGCATAACCACTCTTATTCCTAGCATAACCCCTGGATACATGCAGTGGATTCTCACCCCCTCTTCACCCAATAAGGCACCACCCAGCCCTCCTCTCTATTGAGCCACTGACACAACACACAACTGACATTATTTATTCAAGAAAATAATTGAGAGATGGATCGGTGTATAAGGCCACTCCTGATGGGTGGCTCACTCCAGTTCCATGGGATCCAACAAAACACACACACACACACACACACACACACACACACAATTAAAAATAAAAAAAAAAATATCCTTTTAAAAAGAGAAGCCTCCCATCCCCGCTTCCTCTCAAACCTTCCACAACACTGTCACTTGCCCTTTATAAGGGAATCTTCCAACTTCGCCATTGTCCATTGCACACTGAAAGTGCCTAAGAGTGGTTCTTGCAAAGTCCACAGTTAAATCAATTTTCTTTCCTTTTTTTTTTTTTTTTTAAACCTGATTTAGAGCAATATTTGATGGGAGCACAGCTTCCATTTCAAACAACCCAGGAAACAATCCTCTATGGAGTGTTCCAGAGCTCGCTCTCCCTCAGGTCTTCTCTTGTCTACCTCAGCCAATGATAGGCGGGTATAGACACATGCACTAACTTTGATATGTCCAAGTCAGGCCTTTCTTCTCAACTCCAGTCTCTAGCAAAAATGGCTCACTTGACCTCCACCCCACCCCTACCCCACCACCCTGGACATCTCAGACAGTTACACTGTCCCAAACCCACTCCTCAC